GATGGTGATTTGCATTTCATATCGTCCAGCGTTCGTCTGAGGAAAACTCATGACGTCCAACACAGCAGTGTTTATTGACTCCGGCCGGTGAGACTGGCAACAGAACACGGATATGGTGTAACACCAAAACCAATCCGAAGGGTACTTCCTGTCGGGGGATAGATTTGTCCTTCTTAGACCTACAGAGATTCACAAAGTAAGATTATTGTTCAGCCCTCTATGCATCAGTCTGTGTGTATGGAACAAAATAAAGATAATGTCGACCTTGGCTTGCCCAGGAGACCAGACAGCTGCGTCAGTCAGTCGTCCAACAGAGACAGAGTCTCTCCTCTCTGTCGCCTGCTGCCCTCCTGTTCCTGCACAACATCCACTGCTACAACTATAACTAGTCCTGTTATTATTACCCACCCTGAGCCACGGGGCTGCTCGAGGCATCAATGGGGAAAGAAGTAAGAGTCAACAAAAAAGTGCAATCAAGACAGAGATGTTCACAAGTCTCTGAGTCCAAGTCAAGTCTCAAGTCTCCCGTGGTTATAATGAATGTTGTATCAGCTGCTGCGTTCAATCCAGGCTGCTTATAAAACTGCAGAGCTGTAAGGGATTCTGTATCTGTGACCTGTTTTTCACTTACAGAGCACAACCATGTAATGTGCAATGCAATTAATGACAGCTTATTAACTAAAGTAAGTCAACACCCCCAGACTGTCAAACCAGTGTAACGTTATGACCAAATAAAACTGTAACATCACATGATCAACAATAAACCTGTAACCTGTTTGCAGCCAGCGTTAGTAATTACCGTGATGGCAGCCAGTAAATGATCAAGTCCATTAACTGACCAACATCACCACGAGTTTGCCAAGTAAACAAACGCTCGTTCATCTTTTCATAACGAACAATAGTCGGTGTTAACCTGTAGGTCGTAACTAAAGCAAGAAGCAAGCTAGCGTTAGATGGCTGACTAACCTCAGGTTACTACCTATTTTGCACTCAGCGCTTCTTTGTTTGGGTCTTGTTGTGTGAAGTTTTAAAGCCAAAGGTTATGATGACCAGATGTGAGAGAGGACAACAAACACCGGCAGCAGCTGGTCTCAGCTTTTGTCCAAAGACACATGAACTACAGGTTTAAAGAGTTGTGTTGCGGCGCCCCCCAGCAGGGCTGCTTCTGTCTGAATAACCTGCTGATGCTGATGTCTCTTTTCAGATGGGAACCGGTTGCTGTCCCGGCTGGACGGATGCCATGGTTCTGTTCGTACCTTTGGGCCATGGCTGCTGCTGAAGCTCCCTTATACCAGCTGCCACTTGGCATTATGGGTAAAAACATGGCCTCCTGTGGGATGAAAATGGGTCCGGAAACAGTTCATTTCCTCCAGAGAACAGCAACTTCTTATAGAAGTTCTTGAGTTTCTATAGAGAGAAATAAGTAACTGTAACAAACGAGAAATTGCAGAACTTAAAATAAGTGAGACCTGTCAGTTTAAGCTTTTACACATAAAAAATATATGATATGATGATCGGGATCCAAGCAAGTCGCAAAAAATGCAACTTTTGACATTTTCAGAGGAGACGACCAGATGGAAGGCGATGAAAGATTTGGACTTGAAGCTTTTTTTGAGATAATTGCTGAAACTCAAACTTGATTTTTACATCCCACTGTACATTTATTCATTTAGCTGACACTTTTATCCAAAGCAACTTAGAATTGCTACATATGCCTCTGGAGCAATGAGGGGTTAAGTGTCTTGCTCAGGGACACAATGGTGGATGGGTCACTGTGGGGGATTGAACCCGGGTCTCTCCCACCAAAGAAATAGTCTTATCCATTGCGCCATCACCACCACCACCTGTACCTAACTACTGGATGAAATGTTCAACCCACCTGCCAAATTTTGTGTTTCCAAGTTTTAATGTTAATGAACAGACACGTTTTAGCAGAGAAAAATAAGAAGGAAGTGTCAATCCAAGTAGAATAGAAAAACTGACCCACTATGATCTGAACACCCCCATTGTTGCTAAATTGGACTTGGCCACCTGGAAATTTGAACACTGGACCATCATTTCCCAGAGTAGGTGACTTACTGACTTTAAAGCATATTTTGTTAAAAAAAAAAAACATTCAGTGAACATGCAATGCAATTAAACTATAAAAGACACAAATGTGCATTACCAAAAAAGTAACTTAAAAAACAACAAGCTACTGATTATAAAATGACTCGAAGACGTGCAGCACCAGTCAGTGACTTTAACAACTTTTGATGCAGTTTCTTTTTGGCCAAGTTTTCCGTTCTCTCCCTGTGAACATGACAAAGAGGAGGAAAGACTAAATCAGGCCTACATGTGTTGTCTCAGCAGGGATGGTGTTAAAGGAGAAAAGATGATCTACAGGAGAAACAGATCTGAAAGAAAGAGATTCTGTTATTTATTTATTTTGAAATGTCACCTGCCACCTGAATCTTGTTTCCTTTTACATAAATGAAAACATTTCCACCATAAATTGGTGAGAATGAGCAAAAGGCTATTTTACATCTGCTGTCCCTGGACAGATCGTAAAAAAAATAAAAGGATTAAAATAGAACATACAGGTTAATACAAGAATAAAATTACCATGACTGTATAAAAAATTTACTAAACCAACATATAAACAAGAACAATTGGTCAACATCAACACCAACGCCCACATACACACAGGCCAAACTGTCAGTCCATATAACAAACATTGTATGACAGCAACAGCACACATTTTTGGACATGCACAAAAAAAACAATATAGCTGGGACAATGATGAACAACAGGTTTATCCTATCTAAACACAAATGAGCCAGACAACCTCATAGGCACAGCACAAGAAGCACAAACAGGCAGGACAGAGAAGACAAGGTAGCAGCAAGATTTAGTGTCGAAATGTAACGTTGGCAGTCCTGACTACCTGTTTGCCACTTCTTTAAGTTGCATTTAAAAGGAGCGTACGTTTTCAAATTCCTCATGTGAATTGGGATGTGGTTCCAACAGCCCTCACTGAAAAAGCTGTTTGACCGAGTCCACTTTTCTTCAACGGGGCAATGCAGTCTGCTCTTGCTGCACTCGTAGATCTGTAAGCATCTGGTGCTCTGTTTGGAAACTGGCTCAGTACAGGAGGTAAAATCCATATAAAAAAAGACAGAGATCTGTATGTAATCAAGTTTTTGAAACTTAAAAGATTATACACTGCTCAAAAAAATAAAGGGAACACTTAAACAACACAATGTCACTCCAAGTCAATCACACTCCTGTGAAATCAAACTGTCCACTTAGGAAGCAACACTGATTGACAATCAATTTCACATGCTGTTGTGCAAATGCAACAGACAACAGGTGGAAATTATAGGCAATTAGCAAGACACCCCCAATAAAGGAGTGGTTCTGCAGGTGGTGACCACACTTCTCAGTTCCTGTGCTTCCTGGCTGATGTTTTGGCGGTGCTTTCACTCTAGTGGTAGCATGAGACGGAGTCTACAACCCACACAAGTGGCTCAGGCAGTGCAGCTCATCCAGGATGGCACATCAATGCCAGCTGTGGCAAGAAGGTTTGCTGTGTCTGTCAGCGTAGCGTCCAGAGCACGGAGGCGCTACCAGGAGACAGGCCAGTACATCAGGAGACGTGGAGGAGGCCGTAGGAGGGCAACAACCCGGCAGCAGGACCGCTACCTCCGCCTTTGTGCAAGGAAGAGCAGGAGGAGCACTGCCAGAGCCCTGCAAAATGACCTCCAGCAGGCCACAAATGTGCATGTGTCTGCTCAAACGGTCAGAAACAGACTCCATGAGGGTGGTATGAGGGCCCGACGTGCACAGGTAGGGGGGGCATTTCTTTGGGGGGCCGCACAGCCCTCCATGTGCTCGCCAGAGGTAGCCTGACTGCCATTCGGTAACGAGATGAGATCCTCAGACCCCTTGTGAGACCATATGCTGGTGCAGTTGGCCCTGGGTTCCTCCTAATGCGAGACAATGCTAGACCTCATGTGGCTGGAGTGTGTCAGCAGTTCCTGCATGAGGAAGGCATCGATGCTATGGACCGGCCCGCCCGTTCCCCAGACCTGAATCCAATTGAGCACATCTGGGACATCATGTCTCGCTCCATCTACCAACGCCACGTTGCACCACAGACTGTCCAGGAGTTGGCATCCGCCACCTCATCAGGAGCCCAGGCGTTGTAGGGAGGTCATACAGGCACGTGGAGGCCACACACACTACTGAGCCTCATTCTGACTTGTTTTAAGGACATTACATCAAAGTTGGATCGGCCTGTAGTTTGGTTTTCCACTTAGATTTTGAGTGTGACTCAAATCCAAATTTCCATTGATAATATTTTTGTGATTTTGTTGTCAGCACATTCAACTATGTAAAGAAAGGAGTATTTAATGAGATTATTTCATTCATGTGTTATTTTAGTGTTCCCTTTATTTTTCTGAGCAGTGTATATTTTTTAAACATGACAATGATGATAGTATATGGACTTCCTATCAAGTACTTTAAGAGTTTTTTAGTATAGGGTCTTGGCCTGAGTAGTGGGTGGAATTTGCCACCCACCTCCTAATTTTGGTGAGTTTTCGTCCAGTTTTTGCTGCCCAAACACTTTGAGCGGAGAGAAGGAAAGAAAGAAAGAAGACAAATGAGAACAAAAACAATTAAACCAGGTTAAATAAAGCCTGCTTGTAGTATTCGAGCTGACATGGCGTCTTCAGTCTTTCTTTAAAGGAAGGAATTTAAAAAAGATGTAGAGCTGAATCGATGAGTAGATCGACAGAAACATTTTAATCTCTCTTATTTAATCAAAAGAAACTATTTACTGCTTCCAGTTTCCCAGCTGTGAACATTGGCTTTCTTCTTTCTTGTCTTATTATATTAAACTAAACGTCTTCAGGGTTTTTGGGATGAAACAGACAGAGACACAAACAGATTAATGTCTTCACTATTATTTGACATTGAACAAACTGAATGATTAATCCATTAATCGTACTTACTAATGTTAATTAAGATTAAAACCTGGCTAACTGGCTGATAGAACTTGGTGCTCCCGGTGACAGTTGTTTCTTTCTCTGCAGACTTCTAATGGAACGTGGTTTCACCAGTTGAAACTGCGTTATTTCGACCACCTGCTACAGGCGAGCGTGACGGCTGTGGCCGCCTGCGAGAATCCGGCAACGTCACTGCAACCGGCGTCGCCACTGGTGACGTGCAGAACGACAGCCGTCACTGTGAAACTGCCTCATGGAACAAGTCTGAAGAGGGTCAAAGCTCTGGGTGAAGAGGGGGTAGTTGGGAGAGCGCTCACAACAAAGATCCCCGGCGGAGTGTTGGTGGAGATATCGACGGCAGCTGACGCGGTAAGGAAGATTCACCATGATCCAGTTTGCAAAAGATTAGGGTCAGAGATAATAACTGAATGTTTTGCAGGATTCCATCTTTGAGATGATTTATGGAGACTCTGCTGGGGAAATGTGGGGGATGCTGGCGGCTTGTTTCAAAGCAGAAAGTATAAAGGAGAAGGATCGTTACCCAAGATCTTTGGAACATCCACACTGGAAGCTTTGGTATCTAGAGGACCTTCTTCTTCCATCGTTCATTCCAGAACCAAAACAGCTGTTCATGCCAAAAACAGAAGCAGAAATATTTGAGTTGTGGTTATTTTATGAAATTCCTAATGGAACATTTACTGGAGAAACAATAGCTGCTCTAACCAGCGCCTCCACCAGCACTGTTCCAACCACCACAGGTGAATCAACAACCAAGGCGTTCATAACTGGTGCTCCAACCACCACCAGTGCTGCTCCAACCACCATTGCTGCTCCAATCAACTTCTCCACTGCTCCAACTTTGTCAACCAACCCCTCTCCAACCAGCACAGCTACTTCAAGCAACGCCTCCACCACTGCTGCTCCAACCACCAAAGCTGCTCCAATCAGCGCAGCTCCAACGATCAAGAGCACCACCACAGCTGCTCCAAAAACAACCACAGCTGCTTCAAACAGAACTCCTCAAACTCCTCCAACCACCAGTTCCATTCCAACAACTACCACAGCTGCTTCAAAAAGCGCCTCCACCAGCCTCCACCTGTACTGTTCCAACCACCACAGGCCTCCTCCAACTACGAGAACTCCTCCAACCACCAGTTCCACTACAACAACTACCACTGCTGCTTCAAAAAGCGCCTCCACGAGCGCCGCTCTGCCAAGCACGACAGCCACTCCCACCACATCTACCACTACAAATAGCACCGTTCCGACAACTACAAGCACTCCTCAAATCACCAGCTCCGCTCCAACAACTACCACAGCTGCTCCAAACAGCGTCTCCACTGCTCCAACTTTGTCAACCAGCCCCTCTCCAACCAGCACAGCTACTTCAAGCAACGCCTCCACCACTGCTGCTCCAACCACCACAGGTGAATCAACAACCAAGGCGTTCATAACTGGTGCTCCAACCACCACCAGTGCTGCTCCAACCACCATTGCTGCTCCAATCAACTTCTCCACTGCTCCAACTTTGTCAACCAACCCCTCTCCAACCAGCACAGCTACTTCAAGCAACGCCTCCACCACTGCTGCTCCAACCACCAAAGCTGCTTCAATCACCACCACAGCCACTCCAACCAGCGCCTCCACCAGCACTGTTCAAACCACCACAGGCGAATCAACAACCAAGGCCTTCTCAACTGCTGCTCCAACCACCATTGCTGCTCCAATCAGCGCAGCTCCAACGATCAAGAGCACCACCACAGCTGCTCCAAAAACAACCACAGCTGCTTCAAATAGAACTCATCAAACTCCTCCAACCACCAGTTCCATTCCAACAACTACCGCAGCTGCTTCAAAAAGCGCCTCCACCAGCCTCCACCTGTACTGTTCCAACCACCACAGGCCTCCTCCAACTACGAGAACTCCTCCAACCACCAGTTCCACTACAACAACTACCACAGCTGCTTCAAAAAGCGCCTCCACGAGCGTCGCTCTGCCAAGCACGACAGCCACTCCCACCACATCTACCACTCCAAATAGCGCCATTCCGACAACTACAAGCACTCCTCAAATCACCAGCTCCGCTCCAACAACTACCACAGCTGCTCCAAACAGCGTCTCCACTGCTCCAACTTTGTCAACCAGCCCCTCTCCAACCAGCACAGCTACTTCAAGCAACGCCTCCACCACTGCTGCTCCAACCACCAAAGCTGCTTCAATCACCACTACAGCTGTTTCAACCACTACCACAGCCGCTCCAACCAGGGACTCCACCAGCACTGCGCCAACCACCAAGGCTGCTTCAAGCACCAACAAAGCCACTCCAACCAGTGCCTCCACCAGCACTGTTCCAACCACCAAAGGTCCATCAACCACCACAGCTGCTTCAACCATCACCAATGCCGCTCCAACCTGCGCCACTACATCTACTAGCGCTGTTCCTACCACCACAGGCGCATCAACAACCAAGGCCTTAATTACTGCTGCTCTAAACACCACAGCTGCTTCAACCATCACCGGTGCCACTCCAACCTGCACCACTACATCTACTAGTGCTGTTGCTACCACCACCAGTGCATCACCAACCATGGCCTCTGGCTGTGCCCCTCCAGCCACAACTGCTGCTCCAACCACCACCAGTGCGGCTCCAAAAACCATTACCGCTCCAACGATCAAGAGCACTGCTCCCACCACCACTACTACTACAAACAGCGCTGTTCCTCCAACTACAATCATTCCTCCAACCACCAGTTCCGCTCCAACAACCACCACAGCTGCATCAAACAGCGCCTCCACTGGCACTGTTCCAACCACCACAGGCACATCAACAACCAAGACCTTCACCACTGCTGTTCAATACAACACAGCCACTCCAACTACGAGCACTCCTCCAATCACCAGCTCAGCTCCAACCACCACCACCACAGCTGCTTCAACCAGCACAGGTGAATCAACAACCAAGGCCTTCACTGCCACTCCAACCACCACAGGTGCTTCAACCAGCACCACAGCCGCTCCAACCAGCGCCTCCTCCAGCACTGTTCAAACCACAACAGGCGAATCAACAACCAAGGCCTTCACAACTGGTGCTCCAACCGACACCAGTGCTGCTCCAACCACCATTGCCACTCCAATCAGCGCATCTCCAACGATCAAGAGCACTGCTCCAACCACCACAGCTGCTTCACACAGCGCCTCCACCAGCGCCTCTCTAACAAGCACCACAGCTACTCCAAAAACCGTCTCCATTGCTCCAACTTTGTCAACCAACCCCTCTCCAACAAGCACAGCTGCTCCAAGCAGCGCCTCCACCACTGATGCTCCAACCACCACGGCCGCTTCAACAACAACCACAGCTGCTTCAAACAGCGCCTCCACCACTGATGCTCCAACCACCACAGCTGCTTCAACCACCACCAGTGCCGCTCCAACCAACGCAGCTCCAACGATCAAGAGCACTGCTCCCACCACCACTACTACTACAAACAGCGCTGTTCCTCCAACTACAATCATTCCTCCAACCACCAGTTCCGCTCCAACAACCACCACAGCTGCTTCAAACAGCGCCTCCATCAGCACTGTTCGAACCACCACAGGCACATCAACAACCAAGACCTTCACCACTGCTTCTCAATACAACACAACCACTCCAACTACGAGCATTCCTCCAATCACCAGCTCAGCTCCAACAACCACCACAGCTGCTTCAACCACCACCAGTGCCACTCCAAACAGCGCCTCTGCTAGCACTGCTCCAACCAGCACAGGTGAATCAACAACCAAGGCCTTCACTGCCGCTCCAACCACCACAGGTGCTTCAACCAGCACCACAGCCGCTCCAACCAGTGACTCCACCAGCACTGTTCAAACCACCACAGGCGAATCAACAACCAAGGCCTTCACAACTGGTGCTCCAACCAACACCAGTGCTGCTCCAACCACCAGTGCCGCTCCAATCAGCGCAGCTCCAACGATCAAGAGCACTGCACCAACCACCACAGCTGCTTCACACAACGCCTCTCTAATAACTACCACAGCTGCTCCAAAAAGCGTCTCCATTGCTCCAACTTTGTCAACCAACCCCTCTCCAACCAGCACAGCTGCATCAAACAGCGCCTCCACCACTGATGCTCCAACCACCACAGCTGCTTCAAACACCACCAGTGCTGCTCCAACCAGTGCCTCCACCAGCGCTGTTCTAACCGCCACAGGCACATCAACAACCAAGGCCTTCACCACAGCTGCTTCATGCACCAGTAGTGCCGCTCCAACCAGCGCCTCCACAAGCACTGTTCCAAACGCCACAGGCGCATCAACAACAAAGGCCTTCACCACTGCTGCTTCAACCACCACCATAGCTGCTTTAAACACCGCCTCGACCAGCGCCGCTCTAACAAGCACCACAACCATTCCCACCACCACTACCACTCCAAACAGCACCATTCTGACAACTATGAGCACCCATCCATCCACCACCTCCGCTTCAACAACTACCACAGCTGCTCCAAAAAGTGCCTCCACCAGCGCTGCTCCAACCTCCACAGCTGGTTCAACCACCACCAGTGCCGCTCCAACCAACGCCTCCACCAGTGCTGTTCCAACTTTATCAACCAGCACAGCCGATCCAACAAGCGCCTCCACCAGCACTGTTCCAACCACCACAGCTGCTTCAAAAACAACAACAGCTTCTTCACACAGTGCCTCCACCACAACCACTACCACTCCAAACAGCACCCTTCCAACAACTACGAGCACTCCTCCATTCACCAACTCCACTCCAACAACCACCACAGCTGCTCCAAAAAGTGGCTCCACTGCTCCAACTTTGTCAACCAGCCCCTCTCCAACCAGCACAGCTGCTCCAAGCAACGCCTCCAACTCTGATGCTCCAACCACCACAGCAGCTTCAACAACAACCACAGCTGCTTCACACAGCGCCTCCACCAGCGCCGCTCTAACAAGCACCACTACCACCACTCCAAAAAGTGCCATTCCGACAACTATGAGCACTCCTCCAACTACCAGCTCCATTCCAACAACCACCACAGCTGCTTCAAAAAGGGCCTTCACCAGTGCTGTTCCAATTTTATCAACCAGCCCCTCTCCAACCAGCACATCTTCTCCAAGCAGTGCCTCCAACTCTGATTCTCCAACCACTACAGCTGCTTCAAACACCATCAGGGCCACTCCAACCAGTGCCTCCACCAGCACTATTCCAAACGCTGCAGGCGCATTAACAACCAAGGCCTTCACCACTGCTTCTCCAACCACCACAGCTGCTTCAACCAGTGCAGCTCCAACTAGCACTGCTACATGTACTAGAGCTGTTCCTACCACCACTAGTGCATTGACAACCCTGGCGTCTGGATGTGCTCCTCTAGCCACAACTGCTGCTCCAACAACCACCACAGCTGCTCCAAAAAGTGCCTCCACCAGCACTGCTCCATCTTCCACAACCAGACCCTCTCCAACCAGTGCCGCTCCACCCACAACTGCTGTTCCAACTACCACTTTGGGGTGGATGTAAACTTTTATAAATATTTTTGTTTCCCTGTTTTGTGTAAAGCACTTGTTCTATACAAATAGACTTGTCTTACCATGAGCACTGCCACTCCAACAACCACAGCCGCTCCAACTACCACCCGTGCTACAACCACTAGCGCCCCTACTACCACCACCAACAGCACTTGTGCTGCTTCTTGATTACCCGCACACTCTATTAATGTGATGCCACTCCCTCTAAGTTCCCCCCAATGTCTTGTTTGGAATAAACCAAAGCTTTTTGATAGCAACTGAAGTCTCTTTTTTTAAACTGAAACTACATTTGATTGATAGCCGCAGTGATCCCCCAGTAACGGGCAAAATGTAACAGAGAGAAACATTATTTTTCACTCTGCACATTATCCCTGTACTGCAGATACAGTCCCCTCCAAAAGTATTGGAACGGTAAGGCAAATTCCTTTGGTTTTGTTGTTCTCTGAAGACATTTGGGTTTAAGATCAAAAGATGAATATGAGTCAAGAGTTCGGAATTTTAGCTTTTATTTCCTGGTATTCACATCTAGGTGTGTTAAACAACTCAGGACATAGCACTCTTTGTATTAGACAACAGCATTCTTAGGTGAGCAAAAGTAATGTAACATAATCTTAAAGTAAATAACATTTAATATTTGATGGCATAACCCTTGCTCGCAATAACTGCCTCAAGCCTGCGACCCATCGACATCACCAAACTTTTGTTTTCTTAATTTGTGAAACTATTCCAGGCTTTTACAGCAGCTTCTTTCAGTTCTTGTTTGTTTCGGGGTGTTTCTCCCTTCAGTCTCCTCTTAAGGAGGTGAAATGCAGCTCTGTTGGGTTAAGGTCAGCTGATTGACTTGGCCAGTCTAAAAGCTTGCACTTTTCCCCTGATGAAGTCCTTTGTTTTGTTGGCAGTGTGCTTTGGCTCATTGTCCTGCTGCTTGATAAACTTCCTCCCCATTAGTTTCAATGCATTTCTCTGTAAACTGGTAGACAAAATGTTTCTGTCCACTTCTGAATTCATTCTGCTGCGACCGTCATCAATTCCATCATCAATAAATATTAATGAGCCTGTTCCAGAAGCAGCCATGCACTCCCAAGCCATGACTTTACCTCCACCATGCTTCACAGATGAGCTTGTATTGGACGTCTGTCTGTACACCAGTAGTTTCTTTCTTTTTCAGGACATTGCAAATTGTTGTGCTTGCTCTGTCCAATGTTTGTCCAATGGCTCTGGTGGATTTTCCTTCTTTTCTCAGCTTGACAGTGGCTTGTTTTTCTCCCACAGACAGCTCTCTGGTCTTCATGTTGGTTTATCCTCTTTAACAGAAAATGCAGTCTTTATAGGTTTGAACCAAGGATGGAAACTTAGACTAGTCATGCAGAGCTATTTAATGTTTGGACAATCAACCTAAAAGGCAACACCTGGGCAACAAGGAACACCTGTCAGTCACATGTTCCAATAGTTTTGCTCACTTGACAAATGGGTGGGTTCAAACAAAGGGTGGTATGTCCTGAGTTGTTTAACACATCTAGATGTGAATACCAGTGAAAGAGAGCTGAAATTCTGAACTCTTGTCTCATCCTCATGTTTTGATCTTAAACCCAAATGTCTTCAGTGAATAACAAAACCAAAGGAATTTGCATTACTGTTCCAATACTTTTGAAGGGGACTGTACAAATGGAAAACATGAACCTTGATAAAAGATAAAAACTGAACTCTGTGTACAGTCTTGCATGTTTACTCTTAACGTTTGATGTTTTGGGACTACAATACTCGAAGACCCAGTGACTTTAGCGCCTCGGTATGTACCATGTATTACAGTTGAATCCCTAGTGCAGATGCCCTGGTCTCCCCCTCTCTCCCCCATTTCCTCTTCTGATGTTTTATCAATGAAGGCAAAAAACAAATAAAGATAAAGAAATAATGGCTCACCACTAGAGTAAAAAACTATTTCAGACACTCTTTCAGCCATGTTTTCTGCTGCAAAAATGAACTGAAAGTACTGTACATGAAACTAGTTACCAGCCCCATCACTGCCAACTGATTTTCACAGTGACTGTAACTTACCTTATTTAGGAGGGGAACCAGCAAACTGGAATATCTGACCCCCTTAATTAAGACGTCATTTTTATGTAATTGTTAGTTAACAATGGTGTTAAGGCATGAGCAGTTAAATGTTGAGATACATTTTGACGTCAATAGGTTAATAGTTATTCACTAGGTTAATATTTTGGTCAGAGTCTAACACATAAAGTTTCTTCTTCTGTTATAAACTCAGATAGAGTACCTGTTGGACTGATCAGCAGCAGCTCTTCACTGAGAGCGTTCCTGTGGAGTTGGCGGCCCGTTTCCGTAGCGACCTGAAACTACTGTACATCTACCTGAACCCCCGCCACCGTGGAGGACAGCGTGACACACTGATGCTACGGCTAACATTGTCTACATCACCTGATAAGTTAGCTTAGCATTACCAGAAAGACTTAGCTTAGCGTCACCTTAATAAGTTAGCTTAGCATTACCTGAATGACTTAGCTTAGCTTCATGTAAAGAAGTTAGCTTTGCATCATGTGAATGACTTAGCTTAGCGTTATGTAAAGAAGTTAGCTTGGCATCATGTGAAAAGAGTTAGCTTAGCATCTCCTGAATAAGTTAGCTTAGCATCTCCTGAATAAGTTAACTTAGCATCATGTGAATGAGATAGCTTAGCCCTTGGCATCATGTGAATGAGTTAGCTTACCATCACCTGAATGACTTAGCTTAGCTTCATGTAAAGAAGTTAGCTTTGCATCATGTGAATGACTTAGCTTAGCTTCATGTAAAGAAGTTAGCTTAGCATCATGTGAATGAGTTAGCTTAGCATCTCCTGAATACGTTAGCTTAGCATCTCCTGAATAAGTTAGCTTAGCATCATGTGAATGAGATAGCTTGCCATCATGTGAATGAGTAAGCTTAGCATCACGTGAAGGAGATAGCTTGGCATCATGTGAATGAGATAGCATCATGTGAATGAGTTAGCTTAGCGCTTGGCATCATGTGAATGAGTTAGCATCATGTGAATGAGTTAGCTTAGCACTTGGCATCATGTGAATGAGTTAGCTTAGCATCTCCTGAATAAGTTAGCTTAGCATCTCCTGAATAAGTTAGCTTAGCATCATGTGAATGAGATAGCTTGCCATCACGTGAATGAGTAAGCTTAGCATCACGTGAAGGAGTTAGCTTAGCACTTGGCATCATGTGAATGAGTTAGCTTACCATCATGTGAATGAGTTAGCTTAGCGCTTGGCATCATGTGAATGAGTTAGCTTGGCATCATGTGAATGAGTAAGCTTAGCATCACGTGAAGGAGTTAGCTTGGCATCATGTGAATGAGATAGCATCATGTGAATGAGTTAGCTTAGCACTTGGCATCATGTGAATGAGATAGCATCATGTGAATGAGTTAGCTTAGCACTTGGCATCATGTGAATGAGTTAGCTTTGCATCATGTGAATGAGTTAGCTTAGCATCTCCTGAATAAGTTAGCTTAGCATCTCCTGAATAAGTTAGCTTAGCATCTCCTGAATAAGTTAGCTTAGCATCATGTGAATGAGATAGCTTGCCATCACGTGAATGAGTAAGCTTAGCATCACGTGAAGGAGTTAGCTTAGCACTTGGCATCATGTGAATGAGTTAGCTTACCATCATGTGAATGAATTAGCTTAGCGCTTGGCATCATGTGAATGAGTTAGCTTAGCGCTTGGCATCATGTGAATGAGATAGCTTGGCATCATGTGAATGAGTTAGCTTGGCATCATGTGAATGAGTTAGCTTAGCGCTTGGCATCATGTGAATGAGTTAGCTTGGCATCATATGACTGAGTTAGCTTGGCATCATGTGAATGAGTTAGCTTAGCATCATGTGAATGAGATAGCTTGGCATCATGTGAATGAGTTAGCTTAGCGCTTGGCATCATGTGAATGAGTTAGCTTGGCATCATGTGAATGAGTTAGCTTGGCATCATGTGAATGAGATAGCTTGGCATCGTGTGAATGAGTTAGCTTAGCGCTTGGCATCATGTGAATGAGTTAGCTTGGCATCATGTGAATGAGTTAGCTTAGCATCATGTGAATGAGATAGCTTGGCATCATGTGAATGAGTTAGCTTAGCGCTTGGCATCATGTGAATGAGTTAGCTTAGCGCTTGGCATCATGTGAATGAGTTAGCTTGGCATCATCTATTTTATTCAAGTTAGAATCTATGGCCCCGACCATGCCTCTTAAATATCAGAGTGCAGCACAGTAACGTTAACCAAACTGTGCTGTGATAAACCCATGGCGCTGTCCCTGGTGCTGAAGTAGCACACTGTCTGTTTTAGCTTGGATCTATAATATTCAAACTAGAGACTTAAGTAACATGCACAGTGACAGACGGATAGCCTTGAAGAGAACTGGCCTATTCTGTGCCCACAGCTAATATCTGTCTTACTTTGGTCATATAGGCGTCTTAATGGAGCCTGACAGCTGCAGTTGTCCTTCACAACCTGGCAATGATGTGGAAAGTACCGCTGATGGAGGAAGGAAATGCAAACGATGGGGGTGACGTTCCTTTCGGCAACGAGGACCCAGTACCGACTGAGGCCGCCACTGTCCGGGCCTACCTTACTGCTTCCTGTTTTGGATGGGCTGCAAATCAAACGTCTCACAAAACATAAACAAAATTCTCTACTGCAATAAGTTTATTTAGTCAGCTTTCTTTATATACAAAACAACAACAACAACAATCACCCAAAATGTTTGAAATATTAAACTGTACAAATAGCATGTTTCAAAAATCTAATATGAATAATACTAATAAATGAATTTGTTGGGAATGTTTTTATTTTCTCTGCATGTTTAGACCAAATTCAATAACAGTAAAATCGATCAGTTATTCCTTACATTTTTCCCCTGTCTATAAATAACCTAATAGTGACGTGTGACAGAGGAGTTGGCGGTTGTGTGATGGTGAATCCTTGTGCTTTAAGCACAGTAAATGAAGGTGATAACTATGAAACCTTAATCTACAGCTAGTCTCACAGTGACATCGAGTGGCAAAACCGTTAACTACAACATAGACGTAATTTAACGGTAAAGTATAGGTGGCAGATGAAATTGTAACATTATAACTTATATCCCCCTCATATTTCATTTCTATGTTTTCTTGTAATTTAAATATTTCAATGTTTAATTTAATCTTTTCAAGCTCAATTTTTTCTTTTT